GTGCATTTTCTGAAATATACACATTAAATGCACTTATTTAAGTCAAATAATTACTGCTACTAAAGACTGACATAGTTGGATACCTCATGTTCTCAGTTTTCTGGTATAGTGGCAATGATTTCTTTACCGCTTCCAGCTCTAAAGGAACATCTTGACTTAGAAAGTTAAGGATTTTTATGTCTATCTCTGCTGGGTGTCATGTCTTTCATCCACAGAGACTTTGTTTTTGGTTTTCATGTGCTGGCAATTACATTAAAGCACCTGTCAGCTCTGTTGGACTTGGTTTCTCAAGGGATAGCCTTTGGATGTCTCTGGTTTGACATGTCCTGCTTAATATGTTGCCTGTCCTTGGCCTGCAGGTAACTTGGGCAGCATCTGAACAATTGGATCTGGAGGGGTTTTGGAAGCCCTCTGCTTCTGTTAGTATCTCCCCAGTGTGATCCGTGAGCACTGGGCAAAGTTAGAATAGGAAATAAAGGCATTTTCCACCCTTTTCTGGTCTCTACACTTCCCTCGTTGACTTTAATACTCTCTTCTCAGCCAGGACAGATGCCAGGAGGGTTAATGCTGGAGGCTCCGCAACCAGACATCGCCTGCACCTCCTGAACCCAAGGGGACCGATGCCACAGGCAGCAGCTGCTCTAAATCCAGGCTGCTTTCAAAAGCAGGAGCCAGGCGACGAGAACGAAGCAGATGAGTGAGCAGACTTTATACTTGGGTTTACAAGTAAATCAATTATTGTCATGGCTGCAATAAACGGGTTACACACAGGAGAGGTCGCTAACGTTACAGAAAGGCTGCTATTAAAAATGATGTTTCTAGACTTGCTGAGGATGCATGAAAAAAGTATTAAAAGCTCTTTTTAACCCACAGCCTGCAATGTCAAAGCTGATGCCTGCTTTGTACGTGTTTTATTTTTTTCCCCATTTTTCATTTACTTGTTCCCCTGCCGCCTTGTCTAAAGAAATATTGTTTTCCTTGGTTATGTTGCTGGAGGATATTCTGTACAGCAGGGAGACATGTGGTCATTTCCATTTGCTAAGCACCTCTGAGGTGAGCCAAGCTATAGAGGACACGATGGAGAGGAGAAGTGACCCCTGGCAGCTCCTTTGCAGTCATTCCTGTGGTGCTCAATGTTTCTCACACATCCAGTCTCAAAATTTGGATCTCTTTTCTTCCTCCCAGATGTCTGATCCTTCTGTGCGTAATAAACCTGGCTCCCACTGGGCAGGGTGGAGGGTATGAGGGATGGGTAGGTCCTGCCCTCAACTCTATGTGCTGCAAAGAGAGAAAAATCAGGCTTGTGTTTTATAGCATTACATCACAGCTTCTGTCTTCTAAAAATGGCTATTTATGCAGGACGAACTGAAAAGAGAAGGGAATATAATGATTTGTAAGAAATTTCTCTTGCTGAGGGGTTTCGGTAGTCACTTGAGATATTGTTAGTGTATAGTATATAAGTTATTTTATTTATAAAATATAAAACTTATTTAGAAGTTATATAGTATATAAGTTTATTAGTATATAAGATGCTAGGGCCCAAATTACAGACTTCCTATTCAGTCTCATTGCTTTGTTTTGACCTGTATTTCCTCAGGAAAGGGGACAATGGTAAAATCTGATTCAGGCCCAGGTTCACACAAGATGAAGATCTGGCACTGTTCACAACAGAATTTTGATCTGAGGGATTGCTTTCCTTTGCAAGTTGTCTGTATTGCAGCAGGTTGTATGATTAGGCCCTCCCTGATATCATATACTGACTCATACCCGGACAGTTCAGACTTCTGCAAAGACTTCTCCTAGCCCCAAAAGGCTTTCCTCTGAAAAGCTCCCCTCTGCTTATAGGCTCTGTTCTAGGAGGGAATTTAGCACAGAACCTCTTTAAAAAAACCCAGTAGTTCCTATGCAAGGCCCCAGGTGGGTGCTGAAGTCCAGGCTGGATACCAAGGTCTTTGGTGACAGTAGCATGTCCCAGAGCAGAGGGGCGGTGAAGAAGACCTCTTTGGCCTGTGCTGTGGTGCCCTAGGGGGTTTTTGTGTAGAAAGTGTAAACTTCTAGACTTCTTAAGAGTCTGTTTTATTTTCTTTTTTCTTATTTTTCTTTTTTTCTTATTTTTCTTTCTTATTTTTTTTCTTCTTATTTTTATTTTCTGTTTTATTTCTTTAACAAAACAAGGGGATCCCTTAGGATTTCAGGTCTGCTGAGACTTGAGCCAATAAGGCACAGTTTGGGATTGAGGGGAGAAGATTGCTTTTGAAAGCGAGGGTTGGACTAATAAATCATTTGGGCTTTGTAACTGGTTTTGTCCCTAAGTGCTCCAGTGCAATATCCAAGTACCAAACCTCAAAGCACTTCCTTGATTGCAGCCAGCTCACATAAAGACATCATTTGCTCAGAGCCATTACCCCAGAAAACCCCATCTTCACACCCATGAAATGGAGAAGAATATGTTGAGTGAAAGCAGCAAGAGGAATTTGAGGAGGAGAAAATAACTTCTGTGAGAATGATTTTTCACAGATTAATGTAATTCATGGGGCACTTAGACTACAGAGGACTGAACGGCTCTGGAAGCAGACGCTTCTTTCACCTTCCCCTTCCATTTTTCAGCAGCTCAGGAAGGTGGAATCAATAGTGCTTCTACATTAATAATTGAGCAAAGCAGACAGCCAGCTGAGTAAACCCCTTCTCATCTATAATCAGAGCAGTCACTTCCAAGTTTGAGCTACCGTATCTGAGAACTCAGTGCAGACAGAGGTAGAAAATGGAACTAAAACACCAAAATCAAAGTAGCCAAACAACCAGCTCCCTCTGCGCTCTGCTGTCATGGGTCTCAGCAGCAGAGTGGCAGAAGTGAATAAAGATTGAGTCATTTAGTGTAAGGATGCACCCTGGCAGAGCAGTCTGAAAGCATCGTTAAGGCTGTAGGAATGAACTCCCCTGGGGTCCAAGTGCTGTATCAACATTTCATCCTAAAGCTTAAATGATGCACTGATGTTAGAAAGTACATAAAGAAGAAAAGAGCCATATTTGTGTCATACCTGTGGCATTGGCAGCTTACACACAACAGTTCCTCACATGCTGCGTGCTTTGAAAGTGCTGGGTTTGGAGTTCTCTAGAGGAAATTTACTTACAAATACCAAAACCAGGAGATTTCTCTGAGGTTTGTTCTATAGTTTTAATGGGAAAGCCATTCTATCCATGCAGTTACCAGTAAAGGTGTAAACTAAGACATCCGAGTCTAGTAGGCAAAGAAATCCAGTGAGAATTAATGTCAAGATGTCAGCAATCTGCAAGATGCATGATAAAATCACTGTAGAGCCAATGGACACTAAGTGCAATGTAAAGATTTCCTTTCTTTCCTGGGATCTCAGGGGATCCTTCTGTAAAGCATCAAGGCAAAGCACTGTGAATCCAAAGTAGCGTGAGAAGGCGCAGCTTGATTTAAGGGTGTTCAAATACTGCTGAAGGAAGAAGCATCCATCAGGATTGTGTTCTGGGAAGACGTTGGCCCTCGGCATTTCAGGGCTCTTGGGTATCCTGTTCAGGGCAAGCCATATAATGCGCTGAAGCAATTGCTCTGTGGAGAATTACATGTTGTTTCTAGAAGGAATAAGAATCAAGGAAACCTTCTGTGCTGGACTGAGCAGGAATCCCACCGACTGCCTCCTTTAAAGGGAAAACGCTGTTGTGGAGCCACTTTGTGACACTGGATGACACCTGCAAGGGTGGCTTTCAGGGAAGCCCAACCAATGCAGCCTTTCAGAAGGGCGAAGCTTGGAGCCTCTCGCCTTTTTTTTCACTGCTTACAGGCTGGTTTTTTTTTTTTTTTTGTTTTAAATTATTATTACTTTTAATGAGCTGCAGCATAACAGGAACATCAGCATGAACAGATTGTGCTTTCCAGATGCAGGCAAAACCAGAGTTTTGTTAGACAGGGTCTATCTGCAGCTCCTGATCCAGGCTCATCTTTCCCTGCTGGTTTCCATGCAGCAGCTGACTGTGCATCCAGGAAACGCCTGGCAGAGCAGCCAGGAAAAGCCTGGCAGAGCCAAGGGAGACCCAGCAGTTGGAATAAGTCGCCTTCAAACAACACAGGACCAGTGACCTGGTGTTTTTGTACAGACAGTTTAGCTAATTGTGCAGCCAACTTGCGTTATTTTTTTGGAATTTTTTTTTTGCAATGAAGAGTAGTTTGTCACACATGTCTTAAATATGCCAGCAAAGGAGCAGCCGTGCAACTCTCTGCTGTAGCAAGCACCGTTGGCTCTATTAACTTGAGTCTACCACAAAGGTAGAGAAGCTCCAACCATGAAGACCAATATTTGAAGCACAATTTCTGAGAGATGGGAGGATAGGAGGAAAGAAAGGAAGAGTAGAAGCTTGTCCATCCTTGATAATCCACTCAGATGCGTGTGTGCAGGCTAGAGGTGTAAGGTCAGAGGGAGATATAAAGCCATATGACATGATTCAGCTGATCAAGGATAGGGGAGAGGAACTCCTACCTGGCAGGGTGGGTCTTCCCAGGGAATTCCCCCAACTTCTTTTCAAAGCTCTGTCTCCTCCACCGTGACCTGTGAGTCATTTGTTTGCTTTGGCTTTTCTTTGATTTTCTTTCTCTTCCCTTTTTCTGTCTTTCAGACCTTGTCTGTTTTGTTTCTGAAGGAATGATAACCCGGCCCCAAACTTTTCTGCAGGCAACGCACACATTCCATGAAGCTCTGTGTTCCCAGGGAGAAAAAAAAATGTTCCTCATAATTACAAATGATTTGATCATTCCAGCATTTCCACCTCTTCCCAGAAGCTTTATTATCGTAATTAATTTCTCTGGCATCTAGTTACAGCTCTAGGCATTTTCTCAGACTTTTAAACACAGAGTAATTCTGAAAGCTTCACTGCTGTATTGCTTTTCCTCAATTACCAGTTATAAATTCTTTGCTAGTAGTCTTTCCTACAACAAACCAGACAAGCTCTATTCATCTAGGCTCCGCTGTAGTATCGCGATGTCCCAGAATCTCTGCTTGACAAGCACTGTGCTAAAAAGAAATGGCATCATCCCCAGTTTGCAAATGGGAATCTGGGTATGCTGAGCCTAAGACTCAGCCTAATATTTTCTCACAGGGAATGAATAGGAAAAGATGCCTTGCTTAAGAGAAATCTGAACTCTGGCCTGAACTGTGGAGTGTGAATCATACCTACGTATGATAGCACTTTTCTGTTGAAAAAGTCATGAATTTCAGAGGGAGAAAGAAAGACAAACTGAATTAACATCGGCTTTTAGTAGCCAACTCAGATGGTTCGGCTAAAGTTGCCAAACAGAACCAAAGTTGAAGGTTGGAATTAAATCTAGGCAGATCTTGACGAAAGATCTTGACCAGCATGACCAGAGCACCACTGAAACATCGATCTGATTAGGTGGGTAAACTGTTTTCCGTGTATCTGTGGCATTCTCAGCCATGGCAAAGGAGCTGTCTCCGTGCCCATTGCACCTATAGGGAGCAACAGACTTGGGTGCTGCGACTAGTGGTACATGGCACCGTCCAAAATATTTTGACTTCAGCTACTGCAAATATTACTTCACATATGAACTGAGCCAGAACTTAAGAAAAACAACAACAACCAACCTTAACCATTCTGTGATTCTGTAACTGAGCTATAGCTCTGTGGCAGTCTGTGCCTCTATCAGCAAACAAGCCTGTAGTCTGATAAAGCTGTAATGGCACCAAAAATGTTCCACATTTGGGCCCATAGCCACAGAAATAATTTCCCTCCTCTATAAGAGAATAAAATTTGAAAAAAAAAAAAATCTGGCAGCAGCCCTGCACAGGGGACAGTGGCCCCTATGATGAGGACATTGGCCCCAGCTCCAGCAAGCTCAAAACCCAGCAGCCTCTGCTCAAAAGAGCAAAAAATCCATCCCCTTGTTGCCAAAGTTCTTTGGGTTGAAAGTGCCCGGACTGGGGAAAAGAGAGAGATTCTGCACAACAGTGTTTCTTTGTTGCAAGTCAAGGAGCCAAATTTAAGGCAGGGTACAAAGCTGACCCTGGGGTGAAAGGCAGAACCAAGGCCCTTCAGAGGCCACCCTCGCACCCCCAAAGCCAAGCCCAACAAGTCTTTGATGCATTTACATTCAAAAGTAAAAGAGCAAAAGCGCCCTTACAAATCCTTCCAGCTGGAGAATAAAACAGCTGAAGCAGCAAAGGGTGGTTAATGGGGGTTTCACAGCAGATACTGGTTCAGGACAACCTCTGCACTACAGTTTCCTTTCTAATTTCCAAATAAGACTTTTATCAACACAATTATAGTCACAGAAGAGCAAATGAAGCTCAAAGTTGACTGAAAGAAATTGCATTGTGGGGGCTGCTCACAGCAATCCTTTCCTCTCTCTCTCTTTTTTTTTTAAATCAATTAAAAAAAGAGAAGTTAACACCTGTGTCTGCTTCACTATGTCATTTTTCAAGTTTGCAGTTGTTCTCAGTGGAATCAATGTGACAGATTTATGCAAAGCTGCAATTTGGATCATTTTCCTGCCTGGAGCAAGGCTTTTATCCAGAGTTCTTCTTCCCACCCTTCATGAGGAGAAGGTGCAGAGGAATGCATCACACTGAAAAAAAAAAAAAAAGGCAAAGAAACTTTCACAGCTGTTCCTGGCAGCTGGGATAAATTTAATCAGAATGGAGATTAACACACATCTCAGTGAAAGGGAGAGATTTCTTTCTGTATTCTCTCCCTAGGTTATGGTATCACCTGTACAACAGACAAGGCTCTGAGCTGAATCTCAGCAGTGAATTTGCAATGGGAGGATGGAGGGGATGCAAGTGGCTTTGTACTGTCCAATTCCTGGTGTCTCTTGCGATGGGCTGGCCACCCAGGTAATTTCTTTGGACTGTCTACATTGCAAAATCTCTTACTAGGGTTTTATTCTTTGCAAGACCTTAAGCTGTGCCTGTGGCCAGCTCAGCAAGCTTCTGAGCACTCAGTTTTTAAAAGGGAATCTGCAGAGGCAGCACTCTTCTGATTATGGCATTGGCCAACCCTTTCCTGGTCCTTTCTGCTCTTCCGCATGGAGATGGCAAGAGCAGAGATCTTTCCCAGAGTCTCAGCAAGTGTTATATACATACTCACACAAACTAACTCTTGTTTATGTCTGTTTATAATAGTAAATTTTTGATGGTACAGTAATGCCTGGAGTTTCCCAAGTACCCCATCTTAGCTCACAGTGAACCTCAAGTGATAGTTTGGACTTCTGGAGAGCAAGGGCAGCTGTTATGGTTTACCTTCACTGCTCAGCATAGGAACATCATTAATCTCCTATCCTTAAATCCTACTTTGGAGGCTAAATTATTAGTACTTAAATAGACTTTGCTATGGTGCTTGTCTGCAGACTATGTGAGTGCCATAGAAACATGGATGCATGTATAATCACAATCTCTTAATGCAGTGGAGAGATGATAGCTATATCATCTACCAGGCTTGCCCTTTTGGATCCCAAACCTCATACTTCCAGTTAATCTTGTCCATCCTTGCCTTTCCACCAGGTATGAAGAACTTGGGCTTGCTGTAAGAACACAATCTTTAACGAGAGCAGAACAAGACATCACTCTTTAGCCTTGCCTGGTGAAAATAAAAAGCTGTGGAAATATTTTTTTCTTTCCAGAAATCTCCTGGGAAAGAAAAGAGAAGAAAAAAAGCAAACTGTGATGTTTAAGTCCAAAGAGTCAGTGTGGGTCAAGCAAGGAGCAGCTGAAACAAGGAAGAGCCAGACAGCTTTTCTAATGGGACATCCTATCTAATGAATCATTTGCTCAGGCTGCTGTTGGCCTCTGTAGCCTTTGCTGGCTCTCGTGGAAACAAAACCTGCCTTAGGCAAGTGCCATCAAGCCCTCAACTCATGGCCAGGTCAAAGCTGCCTTGGGCCTGACATAACACTTTATGCCAGCCTGATTTGCCCGGGTACATGAGGGTAGCAGTTAGTCTTGTCTGTTGGGCTGCCAATGGCCATGGCCATGGACATGTTTTGATCAGTTGTGGCTACTTCAGAGGCACAGGAGTGTCCTCCTTGGCCATGCCAATGATCTGCAGGGACACCTCATTGCCAAGGAAATAAAGCATGGGCAGGAGCAGGACCAGGACAGCAAAGGTTCCCACCAGCGGCATGGCTCTCACAACCAGGGTCTAGATGAATCCCTGGCCTGTGATACTGACTTTGTGCTTTTCTCCAGCTCCTAGGGGGAAAAAAAATCCTTGAGATATGAGTTGTGCAGACAGTTTTGCTCAGTGAGGGGCTAGCTGGCTGCTTAGAGAGGAGGGAGCATTCCTCCCATAGGGTAGCCAGCTCTGGGCTAGTTTCACAACCATCTCCATGTACTTATGTCAACGTACTGAGTTAAACATAGTCTTTTTAATCCATTGCTAAGGACAATTTCTAAACTCTGAATAAAGCTCCTGCATAATAGCAAGGGGACGTGCTTCTATGCCAAGTGCTCCGCAAACACTGCGCCTTTGTCAAGGAGCTGGGAACCCTCGATGAAAAGCACGGCCTGAAGAGCAAGGCACAGGAAAGCACAGCCCTGATGGAGCAGGCCCCTTGAGTTGTTCTGTGAGGTTTGATGCTTTTTGTCACCCAAAAGATTGTAATGAAGTGGCAGGCACTTAGCAAAGAGGAATAAGAAAGATAAAGGTGAGGAAGTGTGTTTGATTATGAGGAATGATTTGACTAAATAGCAATGAAGTGAGGGAGTCTGTGCATGCATGTGGATGTTTTTATGAAACATGAGACACATCCGCAAATATTTGAACACTTTTGATAGCAGTTAAGGGGAGAAACTCACTGCCAGAGTGATTCTGGTGGCTGGGGAATAAGCAGTCTGTGGGGAGTGGGCAGGTTTCATATGTCTATAGATGGATGGTGGTTTGCTTGGCTGACACATGATGGGAAGTCTACCAGACCTCATGGTGAGACAGCTTATAAACCTAGCTCAGAACCTAAACCAAAGGGCGATGAGGCAGAGCACAGCATCCAAGTCAAGCCCAGGTTTTTGCAAGGATGAGAGCCACGTAAGCTGGCTGGTATGAGAGCACCGGGGGAAAAAGTGTTTTTTCAAAAGGGCTGATAGCTTGTATGGAGAACCGTGGTGTTGCTGAAGGTGTTTTAGTCTGGACACATGAAATCGATGGCAACCTGAAAAGAAATAGCTTAAGAATCTAGTTCTCCTTTCCTTTTTTCCCTTTTGGTACCTATTTCAATAATTTCCTTCCACTACAAAACATTCAATAGTCCCTCATGTTAAATCTTACATTTGTAGATTCCTTCATTGGCTGCTTCTCTGCCTTAAATTTTTCTTCAGCGGATACTTCCTTTGCCTCCCCTTTTCTCCTGCCCTGAGTCTTTTCCTGACTTTACTCCTACTCTCTCTACCTTTTCCCTTCTGTTTCTGGTGTTCTCCATGGCTCTTCATCTCTATATCTGCTTGCAGTCTCATGTTGCTTCCTATTTCCCTGATCCAGGACTTTACCAAAGCTTCCAGGTTGTAATCTGTGCTATGCATCCCTGTTTTCCTCAGGTCCCCCCTCCAGATGTACAAGCACATCTGTGCATGGTGTATGTGCACACCCAGAGCCATGAGGCTGGGACCAAACCCTTAGGAGAGAACTGGCAGCTCAATAGGATTCAGCCCCCAAATCTGGGGTTCTTTGGTTGCTGAATGTGACTGATAAGGGCAGTAGACAGTAGTGTCCCTTAGCGCAGCCCTGGAAAGAAGTCAGACATTTCACTGATTAGTGCAGTTTGAGAAGCGTGCTGTATAGGAAGCCCATGTTGTCTTACAATGGGAAATAATTAAGTAAAAAAGCTGCAAATTGCATAAAGGTGTTTCGCAAGAGGACTGTCATATACCATGAGACAAGTTTACTGGAAAGAACAGCTGTAATGAGAAACAAATCGTGCTGACCTTTCCTATACAGCTTGAAAGCAGGTTTCTTCAGGGTTGTGGAGATTCATTTGCCCTCCAGCGGTGGAAGAATTAAGATGTTATGTTTAACATAATCAAGAGAGGTTTAATCGCAAATCCTGATGTGAGAG